CATATACCATATAACATACGTATACATATATATATATATATATATATATATATGTGCATATAAGTATGGATCTGTAGACATAGATATGAGAAGTATGTAAAAGACTAATAGTGCAGTGTGATACATAACACAGGTTATATTACTATTACAAAATAATTATAATAAAATAATAATATATAAATTTCAATGATCAGTGGTCTTCAACTTATTACATAATTAGGTTTATTTAAGGAAAATTTTCAAAAGAGAAGCACAGACTGATGCATATATCAAATTAATCCAACGAGAGCCTCTATTTCTTATTGTTATATCTCCAGCATTGTTGCTGTGAAAGAATGTCACAGTAACAACTGACCTTCAGTTGGTTAAAAAGGAGAATCCTTAAAAGTTAAGGAAACCAGGTGTGGTGGCGCATGCCTGTAATCCCAGGACTCGGGAGGCTGAGGCTGAGGAGGATCACTGTGAGTTCTAGACCAGCCTGGGCTACACAGTGAGTTCCAGGTCAGTCTCACTACATAAGTGAGACCCTGTCTCAAAAAACCAAAAAAAAAAAAAAAATTAAGGACTTGGTGTTTGACAATACCCCATCTTTCATCAGAATGAGAGACACGGGATAGCTCCTCACATCAAGTGGTTGCTGGACTTTGGAATATTGACTCCCTGTCAGTCCCCATGGAACACTCCTCTCCTGGGGGTACAGAAACTAAGGATGTCCGATTACAGGCCAGTCCAGGACTTGAGAAAAGTTAACCAATGACTGATAACTCTGTACCACACCATGCCTAACACACATATTCTGCTGAGTTTGCTGTTTCCTGAGCACCAAGTATATACTGTGCTAGATTTAAAGAATCTTTTTCAGTCTGCCTCTTGCCCCAGCTACAGCCTATCTTCGCCTTCAAATGCACTGACCCAACTTCCAATGATTCCTGTCAACTCATCTGGACTCGGCTGCCTCAAGGATTCAAGAACACATCCACTCTGTTCAGTGAGGCTTTCCAGAAGGACTTGAATGCCTACAGGGAATGAGAGCTTCTCCAGTTACTAGAGGAGATGGGCTACTGAGCCTTGGCCAAAAACACACAACTCTATGCCTCCCAAGTGTCGTACCTGGGTATGAGATCTCATAGGAAAAAGAACTCTGTCTCAGGCCAGGAAATGGGCCATTCTCCAGATACCCACACCAACTACCAAGAAACAGATGCGAACAGTAGGATGGGAAGCGGGGTGCGTACATCTGACCAAATTATTTGGGACCAGCCTTTGCCCGAAGAGACCTCAGCATGAAAGGCCACTCCAGCCCAGACTGTAAGATGGGAAAAAGATAAAAAGTCTCTTCAACAGGTACAGGCTTCTGTCCACGCCAGTGTACACATTGCCCTACCCTTGCCCAGCTCTGTGACCTGCCACCCATTCCAGCTGAGAGACAAAGCTTCATCAAAGCCTTCCAAAAAGACTCACCCCTGCCGTAGAAGGGACCATACACAGAATTCTTCATCCAGCTTTTCCTTGGATTCCTGATGAGGCCTTGTGTTCTTAATTAGATCATAAAGTTTGTGAAACAGGGTATAGCCTCTGTTAAACTGTTATACATGAGAATCTACTATAATCCCCTACCCACTCAGGAGGCTCAAGATGAGTTAATGCTTCAACATCCAACTTCGAGGAGTTGGGAAGGTGATGGCCAACCTGACGCCATCTGTGTAAAGTCCAGTGATTTGAGGTGGTTGTCTTCCCCTTTCTCCCCCTACCCTTGGGAGTCACCTCAGTTAGTGCATAACAGACCAGCCACCACATCTGTGTGAGTCTATAACTATATTATCTTTATTACCTTGTAAACAGAAGACTCCCACACCTGTGTGATACCTGTGTTTTAACTAAACTGTGTGAAATTTCCCCCTCTCCCACTAGTGTAGCAAAGGTCTGCTCCTGTGAAATTCTGCTTGTACTTTCCCATTCCCTGAGCCCTCCCCCAATAGAAGAGCCCTTAAAAGAACCCTGAAAATTGCCTTTCCTTTGTCCAGAGTTTTTGGAGGCCTGAGCCCACTTCAGAATGCTGGTTATGATAATAAAGGATTCCATTTAGTTTTAAAAAATTAGGAACTTGCTTTTGAAAGCACAGCTGAAATAATAAGATATTTTGTTTACAGCAATTCACAATATTTATTAATGTCCATCAATGGAAATTCACCTTACAAAAGTTATAAGAAAGGAATTGGACAGCCAGACATGTACTTTCATTTATTAAATACCTTTCTTATTGAGTCCCAGTCTTCTGTGACCAATAGAAAATGTCTAAAGGTGACCATGTAACACTCTTTCACTTCAAGTACAATTTCCTGTTCTGAATAAGGAAGGTAGCATATGAGCAGGGCTTTTCCGTGATACTTTGCTTCTGAACTTTTAAGTAGAAGCCAAATGTACATCAGAGTGAGGTCTTTGCCTGGGGTTGCAGAACTTATCCTATGCAGCATGGACCAGACTCATTACTTGAGGATCCTCCCTTTCTCTGCAACAAATTTGGATCTGTGCTCCCTTATTGTGAAGATGAGATATCCTGTTTTAGGGAAAAGAAAAAATAAGGGACAAGGAAAAACAGAAACAAAGTCTTTCTAAATAGTGAAGGGCGGAGGGGTGAAGGGAGGGCAGGAGAATGGGGAGCAAATGAGAACCAAGATCTGTCACGTAAAGGTACAAGTTCCCAATGATGAATGTAACTGTACTGTACACCTAAAATGTACCAATAAAAATACATTTTTTAAAAAAGCATGATTAGAAACTTCTCAGTATTTACTTATAAAATTACTCAAATACTAAGAAGTACTCAGATCATCAATGCCATTTTAAGGTCATGTCAACCAACAGGAAATGATTTTAAAAATCAAAGACTTATATGGACAAGCAGCTGGGAGTGACTCTGTAGAATCCTTCAGTGTCTTACTTCCTCAAAAGCGATGACCACAATGTTGGTACAACCGTGTCAGTACGCTACTTATCCGACAGTGTAGAAGCTCTGCAGAGCTAACCAACCTCCACTGGCTTGAAACTAAGGTTTCTGAAAGAATCAAGCTCTGTAGGAAACCACTGCTGAGTCAGAAATTTGTGCACACACACAAAAAAAGAAATTATACTGTATTGGCATGTGGTTCTCTTTATTTCAAAGGTGTTTCTTTCAAAATAAAACTTCTAAGAAAGGAACCCAGGTGTTGACAGCTACTTGGTTGTAACCATATTCATTTTCATCAGTTGCAGAGTTTCCAGGGTGGTTAATGGTACCAGATGAAATGAATGCAAACGTTTTTTTCCCAGTGTTTCTAGCACTGAGAGCAAATAAATCACAAAATCAAAGATTTAATATTTTCTGGAAACATAATGACTTTATAATACTCTAAGTGAAATAAGTTTCTAAATGGTTTTGCCAGTGTTACAGGGGGGAAAATGCTATATCAAACTTACTTAAAATGGAAACAGAAATTTAAGAGATCTTTAAAGACTGTAAGAATCAAGGCCCTATTCTTATAATCATCTACCTACAAACCTACGTCTTCATTAACTTTGTCTTGGTGGAGAAATACAGCTGGCTGAGGTGAACTAAGCAATTATACTTTCGAAAATAGTGTGGTTTACATGGTTTGTTTTGCATAGGGTTTTTTCTTCCTCCTTTTCTTTCCATAAGTGACAATGTCCATTTTGTCTACCATCCATTGCTACAAGAAATAATCATCAAAAATACTTTAAAATTAAAGGTTGGGAGCTCTGTGGCACTCAGTACCAAGAGGATGTAAATAATCTTGCCATGATGGGCTATGTCAAAGGAACCCAGAAATCAACTTAAAAAAAGCTAATGATCAAAGCCAGCACAATGTGAGCAAGAAAAGAAAAAGCAATATTGGATTAAAACCCAAATATAACATAAATATCTATGAGTCTACACTCTCAAAAGTAAAAGATTAAATAAATGCCATACCTTGCACACACAAAAAAATTCCAAATAAATTACAAACTCTGTCCTCAAGATCGACACCTTAATTCCCTGGTCCTTTAAATACACACACACTGACTGGCACTGGAGAAACCTGGCCACCGGCTCCTCGACTAAGTGATCAAGGTTAACCTCAAAGTGGTATCACAGTGATACTTACACCCTTGATAAGATGCGAGGAGAAAAGCACTTCACCTCTGTGGCTTGCCTCCCCTGAACCCTTAACACCAACCGAAATATATGGAAAATCTTCAGAAACATTCCAGGGTAGGATCATCCTGCAAAACCTGGGACCCGTATCACTCAAAACTGTCAGGGTGATCAAAAACAAGGCAAGTCTCAGAGACAGTTTAAAAGAGCCTAAAAAGACAGGATGAATAAAGGTACTAATATCCTGGATAGGTGCCCAGAACAGTAAAAAGGCACTAGGTAAAAAAAATGAGGAAATCTGAATAAAGCAACCAAGCATCCATTTTAATTAATATTAATGTATCAGTATTTTTTATTGTGATAAATGTACCATGATAATATAAAATATATCATATTTTATAGAGGAAAGGGGATGAAGTGTATATGAAAACACGCCTATATTTGCACTTTTTGAAAATTTAAAATTATGGTAAAATTATTTTTCAAACATTAAATATATTTTGGCTCAAAAATGTCCGTATGTCTGATTATTTCTAAGAACTGGAGTTATTGATTTAAAGTAAATGTATATTTTGACACCACATTTATCAATTGTTTGTCATTAACTTTGTACTAATGTCAGTGACTACACGTAAGTATATCCCTTTAGAGTATCCCTGAATAAAATGACCTCGTTTTGTTTTTGTTTTGTATTATTTTGTTTTGGTCTTGAGAGAAAACCTTGTTATGTAGTTCAGGCTGGTCCTGAGCTTACTATGTGGTCCAGGATGGCCTTGAACTCCCGGTGATTCTTCTGCCTCAGCCTCACAAGTACCGGGATTACAGGCGTGTGCCACCACATAGAAGCGACTTTGACCTTGAATCTTCCCCATAAAAGCCAACTGTGCAACTACTGATACTTTTAATCAACCTGAACGGAATATAAGTCACTATAAGGTAGGAAATAAGAAAATAAGGTAGAGTAATGCTACATAAATTTGTATATGATTGCACACTTTCCCATGTGATTTTGAGAGAGTTAACTACCCTAAGCCTCCATTTCTTTTCTAATCTGTAAAATGATGGTAACTAAATATTACTACCATAGAGTTTTTAGGAAAATTAAATAGGGTAATGCATAGAAACCCATTAGTATGGTAAGTACTCGCTGTCAATTATAATTACTGGCTTTTAACTGTTCACTCATTTACTCAACAATGTTTGTTAAAGAACTGCTGTGTGGGCAGATTTTGCTCAGCTGTTCGGTGGCCTGCCTTGCTAGCTCAAGGACCCAAGTTCAATCCCCGGTACTAAAAAAAAAAAAAAGAACTGCTGTGTGTGAAGCTTTCTGCAAGTTCTGGAAAGACAGTGACAAATGAGACACACAGTCCCTACCACTAAAAGACTTACTAGTCTGGCACTAGTCATGTGCTGTGCATAGGAAGTCGGATGGAAAAGCATGCAAAGCAGGCAAAGAGTACTCAGCAATGGAACTACCTGGTGCCATCTAGAAAGCAGCCTCGGAGAAGGTGGATATAGAACCAGAATTCGAAAGATGTGTAGGACTTAGCCCAATAGGGTTCTGCACCCCACGGGCACCCACTCTTCTCTAGGGCGTATCATTGTCCATTTCTTTCCAATTCCGTGTTCCGTGACATCATACTGGCAGCTTACTATTAGCCAAGGTGAGAGTATTTATACCATGAAAATCATCAAGCCAGTCAAGCTGATCAAAGCTCTTCCCTTGCGCCACCTACAAAGGGCAGTTGTTATATAGTGGACAGCACAGCACAGCTGTAGTCAATCAGATTGAAAGGGAAGACTGCAGAGGGTGAGAACATGGCACATTTGACAAACTAAAAGGAGTCTGGCTGAGCTAAGGGGTGAAGGGCCTGTGCGGACAGCTGTAAATGGAGACCAAATCACATACGTCTTTATAAGCCAAATTAAGACATTTAGAGCTTATCCTAAAGCAGTGGGGAGGAGCCACACTGAAAGGCATAGAATGCATTATTATGGAGCATGGTTTGTGGATTAGAAAGAGTCCCTCTGCCTTCAGGAAGCATGGTAAAAGTGAAAATAGACATGGTATGCTTAAAATGTATTTGACATACAGATAATTTGGATTTAATCATGGTCTTTTTCTCCACAGGATGGTGTAACTGAAGTGCCATCATCTGCTGATATTTCAAAATGTTTATATTGTTTCTCGTGGTATTTTCTACCTGGATATATTTTTAAGATTTTTTTTTTTACAAACTATCAGAAAACTGTAAGTTGAAACTTAGCACTTTTGAAAGCTTTATTACATTTCTAACTGTTCCTAGAAAGTTTTCTTCTTCCCACCCCTGTAGTTATAAAAGGAGACTGAAATAAATGAAGGGATTGTTGGGAAATAACAATGTGAGAAATAATAATGCTCTGAACTTGTGTGGTAGTTGCGATGGTCATGGTAAATGACTTTGAAAAATATTTAGGTGGTAGCTCATGGTGATGGAATGAATATGGGCAGTGAGAGACAAGGAAAAGCGATGAAAGATCTTCCAGTATCTGGCTGCTCAGTGATTACTTATACAACAAAACAAGAACCAGAAGAGAAATAGTAACTTAGTACATCAGATAGGTTGTCCAGAAAACTAGTGAACACACAGTAGCAAGAGGGAAAAGTGTGCTCAATTTATTGTGCTTGAAATGTCTTTGCAAGTTCTAAGAGGATAGAAATCAGTTATGTACATGATTCTGAAGCTCAAGAAAAGAGAAAAGAAAAACTCACTTTTAAAAAGGCAGGTGAAAAGCTGTAATAGTACATAAGATCCTAATGAGATAATTCACCATGTGAAATAGGAAGAAAAGGGCTAAAGGTATAGGGAAAATGGGAAGGGTAGGGGAAAAGTAATAAGGGAAAAGGAAAAAAATATGAGAAAATGAAAAATGGAAATAAAGTGTTTGTAAATGGGGAGGGGAGGAGGGGGTGAAGGGAGGGCAGGGACAAGAGGAAAAAATGAGAACCAAGACCTGTCATGTAAAGGTACAAGATCCCAGTAATGAATGTAATTGTACTGTATACCTAAAATGTACCAATAAACTCAATTAAAGAAAAAAAATAATAAAATAAAAATGCAGGAAAGGGCTGGGAATATAGTGCTCGGTAGTGCAGCACCTGCCTGGCAAGTATGAGGCTCTGAGTTCAATTCCTGGTACCCTCACCAAAAAAAAATTATTTTTAAAAAGCAGGAAAGGTCTCTGTCCCAAGCTGGAGACAAAGCAAAAGACTGAAGTGAAGAGTAAAGGAAGCAAACACATCTTTTTAAAAAAATGGCCAGGTAGCAGTGCCCAACAATGTGCTTTTTCAATAAAAATAAGGACTGAGACATTCTCTCTTTGTTGCTTCTACTGTGAAAATAAAGACCATTCCCATGAATCAGACTTTCAACATTCCATAAAACATCAATAAAGAGTAAAACATCAATGTAAAATTGTTTGCTTGGAAAGAAAAAAGGAAAAGGTTCAAGTTGAAAAATGGTGAGGGAATGGATAGGAATTGGTTCTGATTAGCACACTGTGGTCATGTACTGAACACGGTAAAGGGCCGGGCTTCTGTTATGACATGGGGTCAATGTAGGCTTGGCTCCCCATCAATGCCATTTTTCAGAAGAACGACTCTGGTTGAAATCAGAAATGTCTTATGTGAAAATGCATCTTCAAAGTCTGGCTGAGGCCACATATTGCTTGTGTAGCATCTCAAGTCCAAAGAGATGAAGTTAATTCTTGACGGAATGATTGCACTTGTATTAAATCTAACTTCCTTAAGTCAGCAAGTCACAGGAGTTAAAAGCAAGAATATCAAAAAAGTTTCAATGGTATCTATATCTCTGAAAAAAGAACAGTTTATCAGTCTGAGGAATAAGATCCAAGATTTATTCAACTATGTAAATGAAACAACACGCGATGATTCCTAAGACCTAACTGATTATTTTAAAGACGCAGTAAAGCCCTATAACGATAGGAAAGGGTAGGGACAGATGGAGGGAAGGGAGAATTAACCATTAGATTCTCCAGGAAGGCTCTCTTTAGCAGCCACTTACAGAACCCTTTTTTCTTTCTTTTTTTTTTTTTCCTTCTTTTTCTTCCTATAGAGCTGGGTCAAAGATCAGGTTGTAGAAGCAAAAAAATAGCAAAGATAGACTAATTTTGGCTTTAACTTATGGTTTCTCCCTAGCAAGACAAATCACAGCTGTCCTTTGTAACAAAAGTATGACCTAATCCAGTACTTCCGACTCTTGAATATATGAGTGTGTGTGTGTGTGTGTGTCTGTGTGTGTGTGTGTCTGTGTGTGTGCTCGCAAGAATGAAAAGAGCTATGAACCTCTGTTTGTCTAGGGCCATAGGATTCTGCAACTGTAAAATTCCTCTCTTTATCTTAGTAATGCTTCTAAATTTATACTTGTTACAATTTAAAAGGAGTCACTTTTCTTACCCCTCCTCCAAAATAACTTTTGAAGAAAATTTATAATCTCAGGAAAAAGTAAGGTAGAAAAAAATAAAGATCATAGATAAAGATACAAGCCGTATGCACAAGGGACAGCTGGGTTTGACTGGGATCTCTTGATGGAGGAGATGGTATTCTTTGGATAGTCATGCAGAATATTTTGTTTACTACTGGCACAAAAGAAATAAAGATCCCTTATGATGGGACAATTGGAAAAAAGCAAATTAAACCTGAATGTACATACTATTAACAAGAAACCATGAGTAATATATGCAGCAAGCCCACATTTTTGTATATTTTTAAATAAATAACTGATTTGCAACCCAGTGAAACTTGTCTTTGTGTTTACTAGAATGATGTTAATGGCTTTGGTCATAGAGTCTCTCTTCTAGGACTTCAGGGAGAAATTTCTGTCTACTCAGCATTAGGGACAGCCATGTGTTTTCTAGGAATGCCATTCTAAATTATATATAAAATTCAAATTATGCAGTGAACCAAATTTACTTTAGGGATTGCCTACTTAAAAGCAGAACCCTCTGAATCAAATTGCCTGCAATCAAATATAAGATTCTTTATGGGATGAATATACTTTCTGTAACAAGATAAAGTATAAATTAGTAAACATTTATAAACTACTTTTAGAATTTTCAAGAATGTCCTGTTCACCTTATCAAAACTTTATAACAATTAGTCTCTTTATTTTAATAGATGAAATGTTGAGGGTTAGAACAACTAAATGACTTGCCTGTTATCTCTCGAGTAATCATTGGAAATCTAGAATTTTACACACACATTCTTAGTCTAAATCCAGTCTTCTTTTGGTCTCATGTTATGAAAATATATACATATTCCAGAAATATATTAAATTCTATTTAATCTTTATAACAATTTCAAAAAGAGCCAATGTTACTTACCCAAAGATTTCACAGATCTGAGACTTTCAGGTGTGTCAGAATTTACCTAAAATCAGTCAGTTCAAATAATGAGGGTAGGACTCAAACCCAAAATTCATAACATATAATTCTGAGTTTTCCCTTAAATGCTTCACACAGTTTGCTGTGCTCTAGGGTAAACTTCTAATCTCCCTCCTTAGGAAGGAGCTCAGAATTTAAATTCCAAATTTCTTCTAGTATAATTTCATATTTATTAAAATTTTAAAAACAATCCAGGGTTTAGGAAATCATATCCCACTCATACAATACAGCGTTATTAAATGAATATCCACTGAACACCTTAATCATCGGCCTGAGGAAGGACTTGAAATGAAGTAAGAATTCTACTATACCTGTTCTCTTTCCCTCTTTAATATGAAATGAAGGGTGGTGGCAGTTGATTTACCAATGGTGTTGATTTCTCGAGAGCCTAACTAGCCCCTTTCTAATATTTTATTGTTCTTAAAATAATGATCTGGGGAAGATGAAAGTCACCAAATAATTTTTAGCTTTTAACGGAGCATTCCCAAAAGACGTTCAAATGTGTGGGCTTTTAGTTTCCGTGTCCTGGCTTATTGGCACTGCAAGTCATGTTTCCAAGCAGACTGTCCGGACGAGTCATAAAAGATTGCACTAGGGTATGAATGTGGACTAAGTGGAAATGCGGGGCTAATCTGTCAGGTCCAACAAAGATAAATATCCCAGCGGCACTGCCATATTTCACAGTGTATAGTGTTCACTATAGATCCCTTGACATGATAAATTTTATGGCCAAATGTGGTGGCATTTAGCAACCCCAGGTCTTCTAATGATGGCTGCTCCTCCTCTGATGGGGTCAATTGTGATAAATCGCCCTGTTGAACTCACCATGAAATATGACATTTCAGGTTAGCCAAATTCTCTTTGATGTTCATGCCCCAGTTAGCCTGAAAACATTTACCATAGGAGTTTTCTAGTTAGAAGGATGAAATGGTACCAGGTATGACCTTCTGGTTTTCCTTATTATTTTGTCAGTAACAACAAGAAAGTTTGCAGAATCTGTTTCCTGAGGAAAATGTGGACAGATTACCTTCTAGCATGGTGAGAGATTGAGGCCACTGGCCATGAGGAGAAGGAAAAATAAGGTAGTTTCTTTAATATCCTGCTTCTTTTGTGAATTCCCTTAGTATAAAGCCATCATTC